GTTTAAATGAAATAAATATGTTAAAAAAGCTTCTGCAATTATTAAAAAGATGCCCTCGTGTTGTTCTTTAACTTATGTAAAACGAGGTGTTTCGGCCTCCATTTTCTATGCAAAGCAAGAGCTGAGGAGACGGTCATCTGAAGTCTGCAGGAGGAGGGGAAATGTGAACGATCAGACAAACCTCGTTCAGATATGAGTGAGTCACACAGACCAGCGCGGGGCGAAGAACAAGTCAGACATTCCACACATATAAAATACACTGATCTCACACCTAAATGTWTGATAAGACATGGTATGCAAGTGTGCAAGTGAAACACACACACACAGAGTCAGCACTTCTCTCTGAGAAAGAGGAATGACACATAGGACAAACAGGTATTTTAAAGCGAAYGTCCTATTTGTTGGCTCTTTTCAGTATCTTATCTGGTCTGTACTGATATCATTATTAGTCATGTTTAAAGAATTTCAGCTGTTTGTTCAAGCCTTATTTTCAAAGCACAATATGGTAAACCACAAAATTCCTGTGAAATTCCCCCAAACAGATTATTAACTGTTCTGAACAAAGCAAGAAATCATTGGAAATGTCACATTTAACAGAGTAAATGGCAGATGGACAAAAATGAAGACTTGGCAATGTGATTCTGACTCTTTAGAGTTTTAGTAACTTTTGAAGCAGTTTTTAAGAGACTTATTAAGACTTTAAGCTTCTTGTAAAAACCTCTTTGCAGGGTCTAAGCTTCTAAACAGTGCATGTCCAATTTATTTATAAAAGGAAAAAACTGTGTTTTACCTGCCAACTATCTTATGTTGTATTAAAAAAGAGACTAACTGTGGGAGGCTGATGTTAATCTCCACCCTAAAACCAACAACAAAACCAGTGTGTTTCCATCAGTGTGTGAACCAAGCCCCGGAGTAGCATTTCCTCTCCACAGTTCCTCCGTGCTCCAAACATCCAGGAGCTGCATCAGGAGGCCCGGCTGAGATCTCCACCCTGGAGCTGCACTGGAGGAACTGCTCGCAGAGTCCGGCGGGATCGACACGCCTCCTCTGCACACCGTTTCTCCCAGAGACTGAGGAGATGCACCGAGCTGTGCAGATAAAACAGCCTGTGTGAGTGCACGTCTGCAGACATTCTGGGTTTGTGTGTTTACAACTCTGCAGCTCCAAACACAACATCTGCATTACTCTGTTTTCATCGGCAGCAAACACAGCTGTGAGTGGCCAGTGAACAATGCTGGCAGCTACACGCCTCCAGCACAAAGGACACATTAAGAGAAACAGTAGGAGGAACTGTCGCTCTCTGCACGCCAGYGTGTAAAATATGAAGCGTTCTCTAACTGCAAATCACATGAGCTGCAGCATGTCTGCTGAAATCTATTCATTTATCTTCTTACACATAACTGAATCAAAGCAACAGGATAGCAAACGATAAATATCTCACCTGTTGTAGATAGCTCTTCGACCAACCTCAGTTTGGAGAAACAGTTTAGTTCTGACAGGACTGAAGAGCTAACGGCTAGTTCAGGGATATCCAAAGTGTGGCCCGGGGGTCATTTGTGGCCCCTGAACTTATTTTGTGTGGCCCCTGACTTCAGTTCAAGAATTATATTAATTTGTTTACAAATGTCTTCCCCCGGAACAGGTGTTTGATGTAGATGGAGACTTTCTGTTTATAATTAGGAAAATTTATCACAAATTAAAATCTTATAATAAAAAAAACTGGCAACAATATCAATTGTTTGTCTTTAAATAACCACTCGTAGCTATTTCCACATCTGCTTTTAATTAATTTATTAAGTTTTTCTGAATACAACGAGCATTTTCAACAAAAGAGTGACCTAAATCCTGATTTTATTGGTCAGAATTGACTAAACTGGGTTATTTTTTCCCCAATTGAAACCTAGATAATTGCTAAATTTCTTTCAATAAGGGAAACTTGCAAAAAACTTTTAAAGTTCTGGATCTAGATTAATTTACACATCCATTTCCAGCAATAAATCAGACTGCTTTATTTGTTTAATTAAAGTATTCAGTGCTTAATTTATTTTTGAGCAGGTAAAGGAAAAATATTTTTGGCCCTCAAGTCCTTCTG